ACCGTTTCACAACCGGTATAGTGACCACATTGACCTCACAAAACTGTAGGCATCTTTTGCCAACTTGAACGGCCTGTTTAGCTCGTGCATCCATAGAATTTGACTAAACTTGCCTGGTAACAATATGCCACATTTCCTTTCGCATCCGCACTTACTCTTTTCCCTCAGTAACTGAACGGAAGCTTTATAACCGGCCCAAGTCTGGATGCATCTGGTGGAGAAACGTTGACTAGGTCTTGTCGGGCAAGCCCACACTCACCGTTGTAACAGAAGATCGCAATTAAACAAGGCTGCTGTGGAACTTTTCCATCCTTGATAAACCCGTGGTCACCCCAAGTTCGACCGCATTTCCTACGATTTTCACTGTGCCTGGACCTTGCACCAAATCACCTCCACTGCCATCCTCATTCAGAGGTCCGCCTGTCATCGAGATGTCTAGAACGAAGATAGTTAGGACCGACAAGATTGCCTGGTCTTCATGGGAAAAAAGGAACCTTCTTTCCTGGTTGCACCGGCACCGCGGGATGTCTTGGAACGAAAGAGCCAGGGCATACTTCAGGCAGTTCCGCGTGAAACGAACGGGCGAGGCATTGAGATGCAAACAGAACTACCTGTTACGGAATCTACGAAAGCTTCACTCCATCCAGGGAATTCCGTCTGAAACCTCCAGCTCAGAGTTACCTCCGCCGCAAGTCCGACGCGAAGAAGCTCGGAGATCTTGCTTGCCGTCTCTTCCAATCTTCACACCTAGAGGCTCCCGCACAACAAATTGCCATTTGATCCGTGCGCTAGAGCAGCTGGCCGTTTCAGAACGCCGTTGCTTCACAAATGACTCGGATAGTGCAAACGAGACTCCACCAGGTAAGATAAAGCGGCAGCCTAGGCTACGGGCCAGGAGGGTTAATAATTCCATAGGTTATACGATCCGACTGCCGCACACTCTGAGACCCGGTCTAACGCGCAATGCTTCATACCATTGGAAGTTTGTACATCGTACGGCAGCTGCCACGAGAGCCTCACGTAATGCTGCGATCTTATGATCCTCAACATTTACCATGTTCAGGGCACAACTCAACGGACATTACACTATCCACCTTGCACCTTTTAAGGTATTCATGTATATCTAGATAATGTTGACACTGAGGGTCTGCTCTGGCTTTTCACCAGTGAGCCCGTTGGAAACTGATATACAGTGCAAATTTTTGCCCCTGAAAGAAGATGTAGCATGATTCCTAGCCTTTCCCGAACACCTGAGTCTAAACATACTTGCTACAGCCGCGGCGTAGTGCCCTGACTGGATTGATCGCCAGTAATATAATGATATTACCTCGAGCTGCCGCGCACAGGGCATCAGTCCATGGTTCACATTGGTAGAGCCCCACTGTCCATGTGCCTCCCGTCCTTCTCGAATTGTTTGGCTGCTAGGAAACATGAGTGAGGCTGGTAGTTTGGAAAGTACTTTGATGAATTATGGTGAACTCTTTTCCATCTAGCTTTACCGCCAGCGGCGGCAGTTTTCTTGTCTTGGCTTGTAACAGGGTTGCCAATAGGCTCGGGAAAACCTGAACAGAGAATATATCCAAAGAGCTGTCGCTAAAAGATAAACCATAAAGTGAAGGTGGGATTTATCTAAAGCAGCGCTTTTCTACCGTTTCATTTCTCCGACTAATGAGCGTCACTGAGGCATTGCCCGTTTCTTGCGCGCTGGATTGTCCTGAATGGTAGAAACCCGCTTTTCCTTGCACAGTTCATCTAGACGAGCTTTCATGCTCTCCAGTGTTTCCTCTAGTTCCTGGATCCTGTCTTTGAGAGCTGTGGTTTCGCTCAGTAATGTCGCGTTTTCGGTCAATACGTCGGCGAAGTCATTCTGTGTAATGCCATTGAGAAAGTGTTCGATTTTCCTATTCAGTCTGGTTAGCATGTTGATTTGCTCACCTGGAAAACAGGCTCCGACTCCAGCAAGGTACCGGAGCAGGGATCGGCCAGACCAAGAAGAAGGCTGTAAATCTCAAAGTCAGCACAATAAAGCCAGCCACTGCACGGTAGGAACTCACTCTTGGTTTTGCTGGGTTGACCGCGAAGAGAGCTGTGCTGTTGTGGACTTCAATTCAGCCACCATTCCTCTTGTCCGTGGGCTTTGACCACAACTGATGGTACCTTTTTCATCCTTGGTACGGGATGTTAAATCAGGGGTTTCTTTGAGGCGGGACGATGTCGTTCTTGTTGGTTTTTGCTCTTCCTCTGGAGGCATCAAGCTTGCGAATCGTGCTTCGTAACCACCTGGTTGGCGACTGGACCGTAGAATTTGCGCGTACGACATTGAAAGAACGTGACAAAATCGAACGACCGTTCAGGAAAGTTCAGAATAGCGAGGAGGGGGTCGGGGAAAGGGGGAACGTGGGCGGAAAGATGCGCGATTTCATGCGTATGGTGGATTCACGTTACTGCAGGCACTGAAGGGGGCCCGGCGCGGCAAAAAGAAAATCCAAAATCAAATAAATAATAATAATAGATAATACAGGAAAAGGGCAGTGCTGCATAATTCTCATAGGCCACTCCTTATTTTCGCCAGCTTAGGTAAAGGGCGAATCAAGACACGTACCGAAATACGCCTTTACGAGGTACAGTAATTAAACAAAACACGCAAAATTGCCGTAGCAAGTTGACCTCGAGATAGCCATTTGACCATGACATGTTAGGCCACCGAAGATGTTTATGAGGGCAGACTAAAGACCGGTTTCGTGAATTGCGTTTTATTCACATGCCCGACTTTCAATCAATGGATTCCACCGGTCTCGTGATCCACCCATCACGAAGTTGGCTGACCACTGTGAGAACCATTCAATACAATGTATGTACAAATGGCAAAGGATGCCGGAACTGATCTTATTTACCTCATTATTTTGAGTACATCATCTACTTGAGTACACGTCCATACTATAGCATTCCCGCGAGGCTGGGGCTGCGTTAATGGTACTTGTCGAGTCCCGTAGTAGTGGAAGTAGATAAAAGAAAGATACGCGCCCACATTTGGAGAGTAGGAGCAGGCTTCCTGCCCTCCCTCATTGCCATGAGCCCCGTGAGGTAAATCTTGTGCTCCCCCTGGCGATGTGCAGCACCTCTTCGTGGTGCTAGGGACCAGTACTCGGTGATCATACGATATCGAGGAAGCTAAGACTTGCACAAAATCTATTTACTATCTCGTCACCCTTGATACGCACACAGCATCGTATCTTGGGCTTTACTCTGTGTATCCAGAAGATGAATGTCTTATATCCTAGACGCATAGCGTGTAATTCAATAAATGTTTTGAAATGATCCCTGATTATCCAATATTGCCTTTACCAATGTGGCATTTGGTTGTATTAATATTAAATTCAATACCGTTACTGTACTTATAGAGAAGAGAGTTTTTAAGTAGGATACGTTCCCAAGAGGTGTGATGTGGTGTATGCCAAGTCAGCTCAACGCATGATTACAATTGGTAGGTATTTTGCGATTTTGATTCTAGCAAAGGGGTGGTTTAACAGAGTAGTTAAGCAGAGTAGTTATGTTGAAATATCCCGGTTGCTGAGATAAGGAGGCTGGGATCACGTGCATACATATATACCTGTTCACCAGCCTACTTGTATCACACAATCAACTCCCCTCAATAACATGAACACTGAAGTATCACTTCATAATCAACAGGTTAAGCAAGGTGGTTAAACCAAGTGGTCAAGCAGAGTGGTCAAGCAGAGTGTTCAAGCAGAGTGGTCAAGCAGAGCGGTCAAGCAGAGCGGTCGGGCGGAGTGGTCAAGAACAATGGTCAGGATCTGAACTAGCGATAAATTACTAACCAGGTCATAGCGAAGAAAAAGAAGGGACTTTGCCTGGTACATGTAGGAATGCTGTCATTGCGTCAAGATTTCGTTCATATCCCGCGGAAACCTGCGGTATGCAAGTATTCTTCATCCTCAAGGATTCGCAACCAAATTGTACGGGTTAACAGTACACGCAGTCAAACCTGAGAGGACCGCGGGATTATCCGGCTCTGGCGATCAACCGCACGGGCTTGTCTCACACGCATGAACCATGGAATAAATGACGGAATCAGCCGCTGATATGATCTGCAACGTCTGTATCCAAATGCGGCCGTCACTGCCGCATGAAAAATCGGATTTTCACTATCGCATTTAGCGGCCACGTAGTTTCGTATTGGCTATGCTCTGTATTTTATCCCGTTTTGATTTGAACAGAAAGCACAACGGGAGGTGGGGACGGACCCATTGTCTCGATTCCCCGCCCAATCAGTAAATTCCCACACCCCTCTCTGAATTGGAGGCGAGATTACGGAAGAAAATCACCCGCATTAAAGTTTATGCTTTGATAACGGTCTAGACGCAGGGGAAGCGTAGTGTACTCAGCTTCGAACGGGTCAGATCCGGGATTCGTGCTTCCCACAAAGAGTAAACTTTACTCCGGCCAAAGTATCATGTTAGAAACGCAGGAATATGACCTAGTCATTATCTAAGCTTGAACACGATCCACAAAGGGAACAAAATCCAGATGAATGTGGTGGTAATATATATTTCAGCGGGCCAATGATAAATTATCTTAATATCCACACACGTGACAACGAATGGATTTATAACTAGCGCTGTCGGGACCTTTGCCTAGCATCTTCCATTTCATACTCTCGTTTTCATGAAGCGGTGTCACATTGCCGTGTTTGTCCTCCAGTAAACGGCAGTCTTTGGTAATTTGTTCTTATCTTATGTGCCCACTGGTTCCTAACTGATTTTTCTTCAGATCGAGTCACGTTCTAGATGGATTCCAACACTGTCACAGTTGAAGGCTCTGGCCACAACATTAGGGAAGATGACTACACGCTGAACTGTCTGCCAGAAATGAAAAGCGTGTATTCTGAGCATTTTAAGCCTTTTCAAGACAAGCTGTCTTTGGTTCTTCAGCACTCTCGGTCACATTTCATGGCACTAGCGGGGCGAGAAAGCTTTGCTGGGTTCTTGAACGTTCCCCTCATCAGCGACGTCCTAGTGAAGACCATAGAAATGATGTTTGAAGCACCGAAACCTTGTGTGCTTCAGCTTCAGAACGACGAAGTCAGTGCCAATATCAATTGGCTGGACGTTATCAAGGAAAGGGATTATCAGGCCGAATACAAAGGGAATGGAATCTACCATTTCCATATGCGGGACAGGGGCGTGATTGTCATGTTGTCTGCTTTCCAACACAACATGATCCTTTCAGGATTACCCCGGAAGCTGGTTCAACCATGGTCCTACGAAAAGGACGTACAGACGGAATTAAACACCTTGGCGCTGGCAGCCGAAATGACATCACTGGCGAATGAACTTGCATCGGAAAGTAAGCCAACTCGAGCATTATCTTTATCCTATCCACTCGCTTACATCGCCCCGCAGTCATCAAAGTCAATAACACTGTGCTTGAAGAAATACTAAGAAGAGATCGAATTCTTCGCCGCAATCCGGAGCCAAGTCAGAGATCGGCGGGCTCGCCCTTTCCCCTGGAGTCAGCCGAAGAGCCAGCGCACTTTACACCAGCGCAGGTTGACGCAGATTCGCCCGGTGGGATGGCTATCGAGACTCAAAGAACAGACATGCAAGCCAGTGCTTCAAAACGCGGTGCTGGAACGTGGAACTGTAAGTAATGCACGTAAGAAGCGTGGCATTGAAAATTGAAGTGGGCGAAGAAGTACTAATAATTTGGATGTACAGTCGCCAAAAACAGGGCTTGGCCTTCAGAAGTGCTGAAGCAGCTTCCTCTATGGTTCGAAGACCAAGTACGGCAAAATCTGTCGCAGGAAGAGATTGCCCAAAACTTTCACCGAACATTCAAGCAAAAACGGACCTTCCATGCTATTGAGGCAAAAGTGTATTTCTTGACAGGAAAAAGTCCTTTTAGAAAGCGCAATAAGAAGACTTTGCGCAAAGAACCTGTGTCTTTGATACCTCGCTCCTCCCCACCGCTTCCTCAACCTTTTGAATCAGTGGACTTGACCCAACAATTGATCTCGAGGTCGAACATCGAGGTTCACGCGTTACGTCTAGCCCCGAACCTACTACCCTATTTGAATTCTGACGACTGCGAGGATGGAAGCCTTTATACCCTTCATGGTGTTCAACCGGTTGGCCCTGAATCAGAATCCAGCGACCCACATGCAGTATCTGAACAGCATACTGCGAATCAAATGTTAAGGTGTCGGTACGCATCTCGGGAGCATGAACTTGCGTCAGCTACAAGTCAAAATGAATGGCCAGTTCGAGGAAGCCATCAGGCTGAAGAATCACCCAAAACCCATCAAGCGTCATCAGATAAGGTTCCCGAGAGTCAGCCAAGCAATGATAATTCGATCAATGTGCTCCCAGCAATACCAGGGACGGTTGACTCTTACTTGCCTCGAAACTCTCCCTTAGAATCCCCTCGGATAGCAGAACCTATCCAGTCTCCAATCCGGCATCACCCTGAAGGCGATACTACACTCGAAGAGCTGGGCCAAACGCTTATCCATCGTACTGAGTCCAGTGCAATGCACGTGGAACAGACAGACACGGCGCGTTGCGACCAATCACCAGAGAAACTTTCTCCGCAATCTTCACCCCGTGAGATTCCATTGGATAGAGGTACAGCAAATGAGGGTTCCAATAATGAAAACCATACAGAAAGTGGACTGGGTGCGTTGCCTGTTCCCAGGGCATCGACGCCCTTCCAAGTTCCTGAATCAAGCTCCACTGGTAACTCGACTGAGCTTCCTCAATACAGCGGAATGGATGGGCCAAGCACCGATACCTCTGGAAAAACTTTGTCTGAAGAGGAATTGATCATAGGATATCTTCATGAGAAATCTCAAGCGCAGGCGGAGAGTTCTCATCGTTCATGGATCGCTAAAGACCTGGACCGTTTACCAGGGTGGCTCATGAAACGGAAAAGCCTACGAAAGGAAAGACTTGAAATTGAGTTTCTGAGAGACTTTGGACACTACCGAACATCCTCTGCTATCCGTACAGCTTGCCGCAAAAAGCGAAAGGCAGATTCTCGCCAAAAGGATGTAATACACCAACTAGCTCCGGTTGTCCCAGCCGTTCTCGATACTATGCCGGTATCACGATCACCCAACGCCATCATTGACACTCCAAACTTGGACCCATCCCATACGATAACAGTACTGAGCAATGATGATACTACACCCAAGCATCCGCTGTTAGAGCGACCTCGATCGCCACAACTTCATCATCAGCCGCAGGTTCCAGACAACGCAGAAAGACTTTCTCGAAACAGTCCTCCACTATTGAATGAGGA